CTAGTGAACTCAACCTCAAAATCACCGAGATCCAGTCAGCCCTCGATGAAGCCCAAAAGGCCCTAAGTACCCACCAGTCCGAACTCGAGAATACAAAGTCCGAGCTCGTTGCAAAAGAAGGTGCCCTCAAGACCGCCGAGTTAGCAAAGGGTGACGCTGAGGCGCTCACAGCGAAGATCTCCGAGCTCGAACAATCCTTGAAGGAGTCCCAAGAAGCCCTCCAGGCAAAAGAGAGTGAACTTTCCGCCAAGGATGACGCACTTAAGGCTGCTAGTGAATCGGCAAAAGGTGAAAGTGAAGGACTCACTGCTAAGCTCACCGATCTTGAGTCGGCACTCAAGGAATCAACATCGGCATTAAAAGCAAAAGACCAGGAGCTTGCTACCAAAGAAGACGCACTCAATACAGCAACCCAAGCAAGCGAGTCTGCTAAAGGGGAGGTCGAGGAATTAAACGCGAAGATTGCTGAGCTACAAACTTCGCTCGCATCTGCCAAAAGCGAGCTTACTAGCAAAGAAGAAGCTCTCAAGGAATCCGAGTCATCAAAAGGCGAGATTGCAAGCCTGACTGCCAAGATCGCGGAGTTAGAACAAGCTCACACAATGACGAAGACCGAACTCGAGAAGGCCCAATCTGACCACGACGCAACTCGAGGCCTTCTCGTATCGGCTGAAAACGCTAAGGCATTTGCCGAAAAGAGCCTTGAGGAGAAGACGTCTAGCCACGATGAAGACCTCAAGTCTGCCCAAGCCGCTCACGACGAAACTAAGAGTAGCCTTGATGCTCAGATCTCCCAGGTTGCGGAATTAAAGGCGAAACTAGAGGAGGCAGAAACCAATGCTGCCAAATCCGAAGGACTCCAGGGCGAACTAGAGGCTGCCCAATCTGCCCACGAGGAGACAAAGGGATCTCTTAATGCCCTTCAAGCCTCCAAGGACCAGCTCGAAAAGGACCTTGCCGATGCGAAGGATGCCGCCTCGAAAATAGAGGGACTTCAAGCCGAACTTGGTGCCGCCCAGTCGGCCCATGAGGAGACCAAGGGAGCTCTCGATGCCCTTCAAATCTCCAAGGACCAGCTCGAAAAGAATCTTGCTGCCGCTCAAGAGGATGCAAGCAAGATCTCAGAACTTCAGGCTGAGCTTGAGTCAGCAAAGGGCTCGTCCGGCGAGAGCGCTGAGAAGATCGCCACACTTTCAGCGACGCAATCAGAGCTTGAGAAAAAACTTGCAGATGCGGAGTCGGCTCTTTCGAAAGCGAAGGAGGACGCCGAAATGGTATCGGAGCTTCAGAGTAGGCTTGATGCTGCAACTACTGTAACACAGGAGCATGAGGCTAAGATTGCTGCACTTTCGACTGCCCAATCTGAACTGCAATCCAAACTCGATGCATCCGAAGCTGCCCTCGCTAAAGCAAAGGAAGATGGTGAGAAGGTCTCTGAATTACAGAACCAGCTCGAAGCCGCAACAACTGCGTCAAAAGAGCATGAGGAGAAAATCGTCTCGCTCTCTGCTAGCCAAACGGAACTGCAAACCAAACTCGACGCTGCGGAAGCGAGCAGCAAAGAGAGCCAAGAGGCCCTTGCGAAGGCAAAGGAAGAAGCCGGCGAGATCACTGTTCTGCAAGGCAAACTTGAGGGTGCAGAGTCGTCTAGGAAAGAATTGGAATCCCAGATCACTAAGCTTCAAGAAGAGGCTAGCCAAGTGTCAACCCTCCAGAGCAAGCTAGATGAGATCGAAACATCACTTGCGGCGGCCAAAGAAGAAGCAAGTCAGGCATCCGGACTTAAGACCAAATTGGATGAGACCGAAGCGTTACTTGCTAAGTCGAAAGAGGAAGCAGCAAAGGTCACGGAGCTGCAGAGTAAGTTGGATGAGGCCGAAGCATCACTTGCCAAAGCGAAGGAGGAGACCAGCCAAATTGCTACCCTGCAAAGCAAGCTTGACGAGACTGAAGCAGCACTTGCGAAGGCCAATGAAGAAGCGAGCAAGCTCTCTAACCTCCAAGGTAAATTGGACGAGACGGAGGCATCTCTCGCCAAGGCCAAAGAGGAAGCAGCACAGGTTACGAAACTGCAGACCGAGCTGTCTGAGGCTAAGTCTGGGGTAGAGACGGTCCAAAAGAGTCTACACGAAGCGCTGGCCGAGAAGAAACAGCTGGCACAAGACCTCGAGGCCGCAAAGACCGCTTCCTCCACCCACGATACCAAAGTCGCCGATCTCGAGAGTCAGCTTCAGTCCGCGCTCAACGATAACAAGGATACTATATCCAAGCAGGAAACCGCCCTTCAGAGCTTGAAGGAGCTGGAAGCCAAGCTCGATGAGTCGGAAACCGCTCGCAAAGGCCTTGACGAGAAATACAACGAGCTGACCAAATCATTCGACGAAAAATTCTTGCAGGTTGCCAAAGATCAGAACGCTGCTACGGCTGCCCTTGAAGATACCAAGAAAAACCTTGCTGAGGCAGAGAAGGAGTATATGGCTCTTCATGAGAAGGAGGCCGCTGCCACTAAAGCCAAAGGAGATCTCGAATCGAAGCTCGAGGTTGCTCTTATAACGCAAAAGGAGCTCGAGCAGAAACTTGAAGCGGCTCTCAAAGAGAAAGAGGCCCCTGCGAAAGAGAATGGAGCTGCTGAAAAGCCTGCTGAGAAGTCTGCGGAGAAGGAGAGTGAGGCTCCCGCGAAAGAGAACGGCGTTGAAAGCAAGGAAGAAGCTGCGGCTTAATCTGTTGCAATACCTTTATTCTCGATCCTCCCCCCTTTACCCAATGTATTGTTTCCCTCGCATTGTCACAGACTGTTTTCTGCTTGCTTGTATTGTTCTCTCTTTCGTTTCCGGCATTATACCCCTCCCGATCATTTTTGCATCGAGTCGAAGCGCGTATACGATGGTTTGATGAGGTGTGCATAGAATGTGGTGGGATGATGACGGTCTTTTATTGGGGAGCGCGTGCATGATGGATAATGGGCTTCATGAGAATGATAATAAGATCAAGAACGAGAACGAGATATGTAATTATGAATTGAATGGTACACGTATATAAGCAACAATTCCCCTCCATATCAGCACTTTCCTAATTGTTGGAGCACTGAGTGATTGTTTTGTTATTGGAGTTTGGAGGTAATTGTAATGGTTTTAAACAAGCTATTCCCTATATCAGGAAGAACACAAACAGAACCTACAATATTTATTATCTACAATGGGCTCACATGTATCTCACAGCACCAACCCACCCAACAAACCCGCCACCGCACCAGCAACACCACCTCCCAGCACAACCCTATTCGCAGCGGCCGCCCCGGTCGGCTCCGTCCCAGCACCCGACCCAGTCGGCTCCACACCCGTAGACCCAGACACCCCACTTGTTCCCGTAACCTGCGTAACCGCCGGCCCGCCCGTCTCTGTCGCCGTCAACAACTCCGCCCCCGCCGTAACCGTGACCGCCAAACTCGCAACATCACTCGCGCCATACGTCTCGGTGCTCTTCCCCGGGAAATTCGCCTCCTGACCCCCCGCGCTCTCCACGCACACCGCGCTGCCGGCGCTCCGCGAGCAATCCTGCGTGCCCGTGAAGCCGTCGCCGGGAACGGACATGTCCATGTGGTATGTCGAGGGCCCGATGGTCAGGGTCTGGTAGGGGAACAGCCCGCAGTCGGATCCGTCGGTGCCGGGCGCGCAGGATAGTTCGAGAGTGGTGGCGGAAGGGGCGGCGGCGAGGATGGAGGCGGCAATGGGCATTTGGTCATAGGCGTAGAAGGGGAGGGTTAGGGTTGTTGTTTGTTGTTGTTGTTGTTGTTGGGCGGTTGCGAGGGGGAGGAGTGGGAGGAGGAAGAAGATTCGGGACATGGCTTTTGTTGGTTGGGTTTAGGGTCAGGGTACGTGGGATTGTTGCGACGGCTGTGGTTTTTTTTTTTTTTTTTTTTTTTTAATAAACTTGTTTGGTGGATGGTGGGTTTGTTTCTTGGTGCTTGTTCTTAAGGCTTTGCACCTGGAGAAAGAATAGATAAGGAGTAACAGACCGACGAAATAAAAAAAATAATTACCACAAGAAGTTTCGAAAACGAGAGAGAGAGAGACTTGCTAATTAATAACCTACCATCCCAATTTCGAGTGAGGAACACGGGTTTATAAAATAACACCATCCGTCTACATATGAAACCGCAGAAGATCGTGGAACGGCGCGGAGGAACTTTTTGAGATGACCGGGTTTGAATAGGGGCTGCGAATTTTTGGCTCGTTTGATTGGGTATAGATCCTTCGAATTTCCCTTTTCTGCTACCGATGGACGGGGCTGCAGCCGGTTTTGGTGGTTGAGGTTTCAGATGTTGGAGTGAGGACTCGAGCAAAGCGATTGGATTTGAATCGCATTGATTGATATTTGAATTAAGGAAGGGGTTGTTAGAGGTTTATGGATGGACGGTTTATGGGTGAGGAAGTGGGATTTTGGGATTCACATATCTTATTTAGCGCAACGGCCAAGCTCAGATGGCGGGGACGAGATTCCAGCATCTTATAATAATAAGATAATATTGTATATGTGTATAATATGAAGTACGACGTACTTCGCTAGAGTATTCATTACAGAATTGAATATTCGGGAACTGGTATGGTGTAGTATAAATAAATAGAGATGCGAGAAGTAACAATGCTAGTTCAGCGTAGGGATTGTTCATGTTCATGATACACCGGGGAAAATCAATGCCTATACGCCATCAGTACGAACAGCAACACGTAATGTTCTTTCTATTCTTCTACTAGCATTTACTGACTTAACTGCTTACTGACCGCGGAGGTGGTTGAATGAACCTTCCGGGAAGAATCAAGAATAAAAAAGGTTGTTGGCGAGTTAATAGATAGATAATATATATATATATACCAACTACCCAAAAAATTAGCCAGCGCCCTGCCCCATTTTTGAGAAATTTTGAGGCCCGGGCCCTTTTGGAGGAAGGATACCTAATAATAAATAGGTTTTTGTAGATGTAAAAAAAAGAAATAATAATAAGGTCCTGCCCGGATTCGAACCGGGGTTGCCGGAAGAGTTGATTTCTGACGTGGCGGTCAGAATCCGGAGTGATGACCGCTACACTACAGAACCTACTTGCCATTTGGTATGGCGTTTTGATACAAATTACAATAAATATACCTAATAAAAGAATGATGAATACTTCAACAACTGCTCCTATGGGCATTGAAGGCTCCTTAAAGTTCCTCGGCTAAAAAAATGCTCCTTATTGGCTATCTCTTTGGTCCTGCTCCACTGTCCGTGCTAACACATGCTGCGCCTGTGGCTGGTGAACTCGATGGAGATCCGGGGAAAAAGTATCAATCCCAGAAATACGAAGACCAGCATGTCATTCTTCCTATCTCTCGGCGCAATCGAGACTCCTTGGTATTCTCTGTATAGTCCAGGGTATGCTATTGAGCCATCGCATCATTGCGTCGGACAAGCGGCCTGACGCCGATTCCGCAGGTCACGCATTCCTCTTAACCATATCCGCCGCGAGCCCGACGTGAGCCGAGGCAAATGAACTAGAGCCCGCCAGCCCCATCAGGAACGACGTCCAAGTCGCAGTAGCTCCAACATTAGACAAAAAGCAGCTTCCGTCGGCCGAGGATCCACTGAATATTCTATATTTTCTACCTCTTCCCTGCTGCAGCATTCCCCTCGCACGTTATTTCAGATGTTCAATGCAGTAGCACGAGCGCGAGCACCCGCCTCCCTCTTCCGCGCCCGATTACTCCCAACACAAACTCCAAGGGTATGGACGAAAGACTCTTATTTAAAAAAAAAAAAAGCAGTGGTCATTTTCTGACATTGTCTTTCCAACAGATTGCCACTATGCCTCCTGTAAATTCTCGACGGCAGCAGTCATCTCTACCGGAGGGTTAGTCTCTATCTTTCACATGTCAGGATCGCCTACAGCAACAACAGAAGCTCATAATTTGCAATGGATACAGGTTACAAAGAGGACTACAGCAAAGGCGCAATGCTACGGTTTGAGGACTCGCTGCCCCGACTCCCTGTGCCCACTCTCGAGGAAACAGCCAAGCGGTACCTAAAGTCCGTTCACCCGCTGCTTTCGAAAACCGAATACGAAGCTACAACAAAAGCCGTCAATGAGTTCGTCGCGCCAGGCGGGCCAGGAGAGACGCTTCAGAAGCGCTTGATTGCGCGAAGAGAGAAGCCAGAAATCCGGAACTGGTTATCAGAATGGTGGAATGAAGTAGCGTACATGGGCTACCGCGACCCGGTGGTCCCCTATGTCAGCTACTTCTATTCGCATCGCGATGACAGGAAGCGAAGGAACCCAGCAAAGCGTGCGGCGGCAATCTCAACCGCGGTTCTAGAGTTCAAAAAGGCGGTCGATAGCAAGAGCCTTGAACCAGAATACATGAAGAAGCTTCCGATGGCCATGAGCTCCTACGAGTGGATGTTCAACTGCTGTCGTGTGCCAAAGAAGCCTTCAGACACCAGCGTCAAATACCCATTCAAGGAGAACCAGCACATTGTTGTCATTCGCAAGAACCAGTTTTGGAAGGTCCCGCATGAGATTGGTGGACGGCAGCTCAACACCAGCGAGCTCGAGCAGCAGTTCAAACGCATATACGAGAAAGCTGAGAAAGCTGTCCCTGTCGGCATTCTCACTTCGCAGAATCGAGACGCATGGGCAGACGTATATCCAAAGCTGAAGGCCGCCTCGGACGTCAACGCCGCATCGATCGAAGCCATTGAGTCCGCTTCTTTCGTCGTTTGCTTGGACGATGCCTCTCCCGTCACACTGGAGGAGCGCGCACACCAGTACTGGCACGGTGACGGCTCAAACAGATGGTTCGACAAGCCCCTCCAATTCATCATCAACGACAACGGTACATCCGGCTTCATGGGCGAGCACTCGATCATGGACGGTACACCAACGCATCGCCTAAACGACCATGCCAACATGCTAATCTTCACCAACGCCCTCCCCTTCGATGACCCCAGCATCCGCTCCGACTTGCCCAACCCCACTCCCCTCCGCTTCACCATCACTCCCGAACTCCAAAAGGACCTCGACGCCGCCCAAGCCCACTTCACCCGCCAAATCGGCGCTCACGAACTGCGCGTCCAGGCCTACCAAGGCTATGGCAAAGGCCTAATCAAGAAATTCAAATGCAGTCCAGACGCCTACGTCCAGCTAATCATCCAACTCGCCTACCACAAATTCTATGGCAAGAATCGCCCCACCTACGAATCTGCTGCAACACGGCGCTTCCAGGAGGGCCGTACTGAAACTTGCCGCACCGTCTCGGACGAGAGCGTTGCCTTCTGCAACGCCATGGCCGACCCCAACGTCCCGGCCTCGGAGTGCCAGAAGCTATTCCGTGACGCGCTAAACGCGCACGTCAAGTACATCACCGACGCATCCGACGGTCGGGGTGTCGACCGCCACTTGTTCGGCCTGAAGAAGTGTCTAAAGGATGGCGAGCCCCTGCCGTCCATCTACCAGGACCCCGCATACTCGTATAGCTCCACGTGGTACATTTCCTCATCGCAGCTCAGCTCCGAGTACTTCAATGGGTACGGCTGGAGCCAGGTTGTTGACGACGGATGGGGCATCGCGTACATGATTAATGAGAATAGTATCCAGTTTAATGTTTGCAGTAAGGGGTTGGGCTCGGTAAGTCTATTCAGTTCCTCATCTGATGTCTGGTTGTAAGAAGATGTGCTGATTGTCGTAGGAGAAGATGAGCTTCTATCTCAATGAGGCGGCCGGTGATATTAGGGACCTCATGCTCCCTACGCTCGAGCCGCCCAAGGCCAAGTTGTAGAGTGGCGCTATTTCGCCGTATATGTACTTCAATGCCCAGTCAGCTATTACCGCCCGCACACCCGTGGCAGAAAATTCCTGCAGGATATTGGCAACCCCGACATCCATCTTCGTTGCTTTCCCTGCACATCCCGTTTCCTTCCCATTCACTATGCCATGCCAAAGACAGCATTCGCTGCGATACATCATGTACGAGATAAGATACAAGTACGGAGTAGAGATATGTAGAAATGTATAAGCACTGCCTTACCTTGCCATTCCCGAACCAAGCATTGGCATGTTCCCGGCCGATGGCTTCGGCATACGCCTAGCTTAACTCGATCCATACCTTCCCCACAATTTCTCCATCTATCCGATCCGTATCACGTGTAATCCTTTCCGTTCCTCCTAGATAGGATGGGGTCAAGATCGCGATAGTGGTATTTGTGGCTAATGCACATACCATCCAAAGGCTATTAATACTTATGTCACCGGAGAACTCCAAATCCACCTCTGCGACAAGTCGTACACGTTGAATTGAAAACAAGGGTAGAACTTGGAGAACGAAGGAAGTATATTTGGTGCACAATGATACACAGCGTCCACGAAAAAAAAAAATCTACAATTCATGCATCGACATCATCGAACTCCTCCCAGCCGCCGGATGACGAGACAGCCCGGTTCCAGTCCAGATTCTAGTTCCAGATGACCCATGATACATGATATATGCGCTGGAAGTAAATGAACCTATCACTACCATCATGCGCCTTGTAAATATCCTTCTGTCGCAGCCCCCTCGCTATATTGTACACCTCCACATGCTATTAGGCCGTCTAGTTGCCGGGGTTCTCCTTGACAAACTTCACACCCTTCTCAATGTTCTTCTTCAAATCGCCTAAGCAGACATCAAGGAGCTTCTGCTCGTAATCTGTGATCTTGCCAACGGGGTGAATCTTCTCAACACCGTTGGGGCCGAGCTCGACGTTGGAAGCAAAGTAGTCAATGCCCTGGTCCTTGTACAGGGGCGAGTCAACAAAGGTAGGCTCGATGACGTTCTTCTGCCCCTGGGCAGCCTTGAGCAAGCTCTCGGCGAAGCGGGCACCCGCCATAGCCATGGATAGTGTGGCGGAACCAGCACCGCCCTTGGCCTGAACGACCTCATCACCGCCGAACTGCACGCGATGGACGTACTGGTCAAGCTGCTCGCCTTCGAGGTTGTAGCCGGACTGGGAGAGGAGAGGGACAATGGTGGCACCGGAGTGACCGCCGACCACAGTGATATTCTCGCTAGCAGGGTCGGTATTCTTGAGCTGAGAGATGAAGCGGGAGGCGCGGACGACGTCGAGGGTGGTAACACCGAAGAGGCGCTTGGGGTTATAGACACCCTTGGACTTGAAGACCTCGGCTGTGATGGGGACGGTAGAGTTGACCTATACATATTAATGCCCACATCCCAACATACCGTAGCAATTATTGACATACAGGGTTGGAGATGATCAAGACATTGGCCTCCGGCGCGTGTTCAGCGGCGGCCTTGGCGAGGTCGCGGACGATGGAAGCGTTAGTGTTGAACAGATCTATGAGTGTCAATCATGGGCATGGCATTGCAAGAGCGTCCGCGCATACCATCACGGGTCATTCCAGGCTTGCGAGGAACACCAGCGGGAATCAAGACAACCTCGGAGCCCTTGAGAGCCTCACCGAGACCTGAGGGTGTTGGATCATATCCTCGAACCTTGTACTATCAGTTACTGCGGAGGACGCTGGGGCGGCAAAAGGCATCATACCTCGCTCTTGGTGTTGATGTGACCAATGTCGGCGGCAACGCCTGTAGAAGCATTGTAAGTAACGGATGCCAGCCAATTGATGGCTTCTGAGAGCTTACCGGGAGCTAGACGAATATCATAGAGAGCAAGTTGGCTGACCCTCGGGTTAAGCTTCAGAAGAAGCGACAGAGGCTGGCCAATGCCACCAGCGGCACCCAAAACCGTCACCTTGGACGCCTATATCATAGCCCATCAGAATCTATGCTCACAAGCCCCATTCAAAGCAAGAATCAGGGATCCAGCAAAAAGCAATTGCGGTGGTTCGAGGGCCATACCTGACGGGAAGACGCCGAGAAGGAGCGGCGCTGGACCTGTGCGAATATCTGCCTTGCCGAGAACATTGTGATTGAATTGTAGAGAGAGAAGATGGAAACTGGACTGGACTGGGCTGGACTGGGTTCGGAGAATGGGCGGAAGTGTAGGATGAATGATGAGAGATTTGTGAGAGTTTTCGGAAGAGCTCGCGGTCATGCGCCAAGCCG